TCCGCCACAGAGCTGGAATGTCTGGCAGTGGTATGGGCTGTCGAGAAATGGCGCGTATACCTTGAGGGACGTCTTTTTACAGTGGTGACAGACCATTCCGCACTCCTATGGGTATTCAGAACCACCAAACCTAGCACCCAACTGATACGGTGGGCTCTCAGACTCCAGGAATTCACCTTCACGGTGGAATACAGGAAAGACAAATATAACACAGTCCCAGATGCCCTATCTAGAGCTCCCAGTGATATTAAAGCACCTACTCACAACTCAATTTGTGCCACTATTATCTCTTCCATGCCTAACTCTTCGAAAGAGTTACCAATTACCATCGATGCAGTATGGCACGCCCAGCAGAAAGATCCTGAAACCCAAGCAATATATCAGAACATTGTGGAAAAGGGAGACATGGAGGTGAATATGACTACCTCCTTCACAATATTTGAGGACATGGTCTACCGGGTTGTAAAGCTGCCTCACAAAACCACTTACCAGGTGTTCATACCTGTGAGCCTGCGTTCACAATTGCTGTCTGTGTTCCACCAAGACCCTCTGACCAGCCATCTTGGAAGGTACAAGACCTACTGGAGAATGCAGAATCTGGTTTACTGGCCAAAGATGAGTTGGGATGTCAAGCAATATGTAGCGAATTGCCAAGTCTGTCAACTCTACAAACCGGAGAGTCACAAACCAGCAGGGAGATTGCAGCAAACAGTTGTGGAGCAACCCTGGGAAATACTCGGCGTGGATTTAATGGGTCCTTTTCCCAGAAGCTGCAGTAGAAGTATGTACTTGCTCGTACTTGTGGATTACTATTCCAAATGGGTAGAGCTTTTTCCCTTGAGGGTGGCAACAGCTGAGTCAATCTCTCGTATACTCGCCCAGGAAATTTTCACCAGATGGGGTATACCAGATTACATCCTCTCAGACCGTGGCTCCCAGTTTGTGTCTTCCATCTTCCAAGCCTCTTGCAGAACATGGAATGTGTCGCACAAATTAGCAGCTGCCTACCACCCTCAGACAAATCTGACAGAAAGAGTGAACCGAACCTTAAAGACCACGATAGCCTTTTTTGTTGGTGCCCAGCACAAGCATTGGGATAGATACCTTCCTGAGTTCAGGTTTGCTCTAAACTCAGCCGTACATGAGTCCACAGGTGTCACCCCATCCGAACTCAACCTCCATCAACCACTGAGAGGACCACTGGACGTAGTGTTGCAGCCACGGGATGTTGTACCTGACCTCGGCAGCCTACTCGAAAATCTCTCAGCTCAATGATATGAAGGACTTTGTCTCCAACAACCTTTGTCTGGCCCGTAAGCGACAGAAGAGGAATTACGACAAGCACTGCAGGGATTTGAATTTTGAAGAGAAGGACAGAGTTTGGCTACGTGCTCATCCAATATCCAAAGCCGAGAAATCTTTCACAGCAAAGCTTGCACCGAAATGGCAAGGTCCTTACTGCGTCGTCCAGCAGGTTGGACCTCTTAACTATGAGGTGGTTCTCGAGGACAGCGGAGAAGACCATTGAAACGTGCACATCTCTCGCCTAAAAGCTTGTTATCCATCTGCAGAAGAACTGGAGCTGCTGCAACATCAGCAGCTAAGGGGAATATTTGAAGAGGAGACTC